ATATATATATATACACATTGAAAAAGAGAAAGAAAGAGAGAGAGAGGCTTGTCTCTCTTCAATTGCCCACTCATATATCATAGTGGGAGAAAGACACGTACCATAGCGCTAGCTAACCCACTTTCTCTAATGGGAACATGTACATTGCAAACGCTATCATTGTTTTGGTCCCCTTCCCTTCGTACCATGCTAAATCAAAATCACATACCCCATGGAATCTGTTACAATTACTAAAAGATGCCAGCATCCCATGCATTATTATTACGTATACTACGCACAAAATTCGTACACCAAGTCATTTTTTCTTCTTCCAAAGATATTACATAATTTGTTCGTCTCTTATATTCCAAACTCTTTTAAGCATTGATGGGGAATTCATGTTTAATTCAATATATTTAAGGATTTATTAAGAGATAGTAATTTGGAACAAAGTGACAGATGGACGAAACTCATTATGGAAAATGGTAAAAAAGGAAGAAGATAAAGGGAGAAACACAAAGAGACAAATTTCTAATATGGAGTTGTTTTCAGCGCCAACTTTTTTTTACCAATAAACTTCTGATTGGTTGCGGCGATAATATTTTAAATTAACTACTTACGTCTAACTTGGTTTGTCCTCACTTAAAGATATATATTAACATTGTGCTCATGAAATATACCCTTATGATTACAATGAAGAATTTTAGGCGATAAAGTAGCGATCCTCGTCTTTCCTTTTTGTTTTTTATAATTAGAAGGGAAAACTTAAAAAAAAAAAAAAACCCTCTAAATTTCCTCTAGAATCACTTATCTTCTCTTCAAAATTTTGAATCATTTATACCCTTATTTAAATTTTCTTTATCATTATTTATCCTCTTAACTTAAAGTTTCTTTATATCACTTGAGGCAAGTGATAAAGAAACCTTAAGTTAAGGAGTAAATGATTCAGAATTTTAAGGAAGGGATAAGTAATTATGAGAAAACTTACATTTTTTTTTTTTGAAGTTTTCCCCAATTGAAATGATACTCACACGTTATATTTTATATTAATTTTTTTGTGATAAAATTATATACGCTCTTATGTAAAATAAAACTAGTTTATGATTTAAATTTAAATCATATTAAAAAGTACATTAATATGGGGGTTAATTAGTCTAATGCCTATTAATTCCATTGGAATATATATGCATTATGCATGTGTCTTGAGGATGAAATTTTAGGGTAGAAAGATATCGCCATCATCCATAAGCTTCCCTTTGATTCTAATCCATGCACTGTCACCAGAGGTCACGCTCTCATCTCTTTTGGTTGCTGCCTTTATAAGCGCATGACACATTATATCTTATTTTCTCCATTTGGCAAACACTTTTTCTTTATAGAAAAAATGAGGTTACAACATTTCATACTCATGCATCACATAGGAAATGAAAGTAATCATTCTAGAGATTCAATTTTGGAGGGAGTAGAGTAATCAAAACAGACCTCCGATTTGAAAATATTTAATTTTACTTCGAGTTTCTCCAATATTCTAAAGAATGATAAATTCTTAGATAAGTGCTACTTATTATAAATGCTTAAATCAACACTTACATATGTCTAAGGTTCAAATGGGAGTGCTAGAATTTTTCCAAATAAAGAGTTGAAATTTTCATGGCATGTCAAAGACCTGTAAAAAGTTTCCATCACAATTTAAGTAAGGGAATTGGTTGATTGACCCTTCTTTGAAAGTCTCGTATAGTGTCTTTCGAATTAAAGCTGTTTTGCTTTAGAGAGAGAGCGAGAGAGAGAGAGCATGTTAGATGGGCTGAAAAGAAAAGGGCCAGCTTTTCAGCACGGGGCAGCCAAGCATTTCTCTCTTTAAACAATCCACTTAATTGAAATACTCCATTGAATATTGACATATATACATTTATGCCATGCCATGGGATGAAGGTGTAACAATAATAAATCTTATATTTAAGGGTTTGGTTTTTTTGCAGGTAAATTATCTGTAATAAGTTCAATACGACATCGTTTTGGGGCAAGAATTATGGTGTTTTTGTGATTTTAATTTATTTTAGGGTTATTATTGTTGGGAAATTCGTTCCCTCAAACTCCAATGTCAAGCAGGTCCAGGGGAAGCTCGTGGCGGGGAACCACCACCAATGAGCTAAGGCTACACCAACCGTAGCAAGTGGATCCGACACCATGTCTCAACCCAAAACCTTAAGGCATTGAGTTCATGGGTCCTTTCACTTATATACTCTTCACTTAGCTCATTACCAACCAATGTGGGACTCATCACACTTGAATATCTCAACAATTATAGTCTTTATAATTATAATTTTTTAATGTTTCAATCCCAAAACAATGTCATTTTGAGAGTAAATGTAGATAACTTATCTGCAGTAACTACAAAAATATTTTTCTGTATATTTAATCTTAATTATTAAGTTATTTGTATATAATTCTCTAATTTATTAAAATGGGCAAACTTAATCCACAAAGCTCCTTGAATTGCAAGGATAAGAATGATGATAAAATTAAATGTAATCTTATTCTTATATTTTTGCAAATAGACTATTTACTATATTCAAATCCGTTCCAATCACAAGGAACAACCTCATTATTGTTGCAAGGATTTCTCTCGTAATTTTCTAATTTATTGATTACATAAATTATTAAAATACACATGAGAAGAACTAAAATTAAAAATATAACTTGGTGTAAAATAATACTACTATATATGTATGAGACAGGTTACGCTTACAACTTTTTTTGTTTACATCTCTTACAAACTAAACTATCTTCTCTCGGAAGAACAATACTGGAGAGTGTTTTATCAGGAGAATATAGTTGAGATGGTAAGAGTTGTAAAAAAGAAAAAAAAGAAAGAAGTAATGTGAGGGTATGATTACCATTTGTCACAGGTGCAAGATTGATTTGAAGAACCCTTTGCTGATATTGGTGCTCATAAGCCTATTCCCAAGGAAGAGAAAAATACTATAAAAAAAACAACACACAAAGAGAGACCGTACGGTACAAGCAGATGCAAGGAGGGTGGGAGGCACATGGCCTTTAGCAAGGAATGTCTTACACAGTAAAAGCCCACGTCGCAGTGTTTTTGGATTCTCGGGTTGTGTGAAGACACCATCATCATCATGCATGCCAAATGAAAGTCCCTATTCTATTTATTTCTTTATAATTGCCTCTTAATAATGAATTAATGACTTGTGTCTCTAATGTCCTTTGCCCCCTTCTTTATTATATATATTTCTATTTTATCCCATTCTTGACAGGTAGGTCATCATGCCCCTCCCACTTTAAATTCCTTATTTTCTTTTCTTCCAATTCCCAGTGCAACAAAACATACACATAACAACAAAATACCCAAAAAACTGCACTTTGTTTGATCTCTCTGCTACTTCATTATTTAATTTGGACTTTTTAGCATTTCGATATCTTTTTTCTTTAAACAACAATTTATGTATAACCATTTTGCATGATCACTGATCAGATTCATTACAATATGATCTCCATCGTCAGATATTTAATTATAAAAGGATGGGCAATAGCTATAGGAAGCTAAAATAATAATAATATATAGGCTAATTAAATTTGGTATTGCTGCCATGCCACTCTTTAAAAATTATACCTTTAGAGTTACTTCTTCGAAAACTTGTAATAATAGTCACTGTGAAAGTAAACTTTTTGACAACAACATTTTGAAAAGTTGCATTATTCAAAAAGCATGCAGTTGAATGTTCAGAATAAGTCCATTGATTAGGATCATTTCCAATATATAAACAAAAAAGGTTCAAAACGAACATGCAAAAATGCTAGAAGATGACAAAGAACACAAAAAACGTTCACATAAGAGAGAAGAACAAGAAATTAATTAATAGGCCATTCATAATGTGTTTTAGAAAATATTTATCTCTAAAAATTAATGAAGTTAAAATCTTTTAGCCAAATAAGTCAAGATATATGTATAACAAAAAAAAATTTAGTCTACTATTTATTTGATTATTATTATTGGAGATCAAATATTAATACTATGAGGAATTCATTTTTAATTAGGGTAACCGACCAGAAGGTAATTAAGGCTAAAAAGTAGCTTTTAGCGACATAACAAAAAGGGTGAGACCCTTTTCTCCTCGGAACATGGCCCAAAACTGTTCGCTGGCAGGACCCTTCCCTTAGTCCACCCCGTCTTTGTAAATTGCACACTAATTTATAGGGCATCAAATTTTTATTTTATTTTTTCAAAAAATCTCGATTTTGCTTAAAGTTAAAAATAATTAAGGTATAAATATATAATTATTTAATTACATCATTCTTGTAATGATGAACAATTATTATACGATAATCATTTTATAGACATATTTCGAGCTATTAAGTAATTTTTCTTCTCAATCACACACACACACACATAGTTATTTAATGTTTAAAAAAATAACGAGTAACAAATATACAAAAAAACAAATAAATAATGAGTACAAAAAATATAGAATATATGGTACTGAAAGTAATGTATGCATATATAAAAAAATAAAATCAAACATAATTATTTAATTCAACTGACAGAGAGACCATCATCTGATCTGGTTCTTTCTCTCTCTCTCTCTCTCTCTCTCTCTCTCTCTCATAGTCATAGCTTCTGCAAATAATAGTTCTCTCCCACAAGCTTCCAAAGAAAGAGAATGAATGGAAAGTGAGATTTGCAAAGAATTATATTGTTCTCTTTGTTGCTGCTGATAATTAAAGGAAGCATCAAAGAAACCAAAGCCCTTATATACTATATATGTTGATGGCTTCCATCATACTATTAACTCTCATATTTGTTGATCATCATGAATATGATGATGCCACACCCTTCTAGTTCCCAATATAAACCCTTTTCTTCTTCTTCTTCTTCTTCTTCTTCTTCTTCTTTTTGTTCTTCTTTCATCATCCATGGCTTGCGTTGAGATCAGACACATCATCATCATCATCATCGGGTTTGGGTTATTAATCTTGGTTTGTTTAATTACAATATGATTATGGTTCCTTATTCTCAAAACGGGAAACAAATAATTAATAGGAGTGCTAATTATGTTATTTATGGTAACACAACAAGTCATGCTATGAACCAAGTTGAAGTTGAAGTTGAAGGTTACAATTGCTTAGTAGGATCTGATTTTGTGGTGAGTAGGCACATGGCTGATGAAGAGGAATCAAGAACTAACACAAACACAATTACTACTCAATATCATCATAATAACGAACCTGAGGCTGAACCTCAACCTGAACCTGAACCTGAAGCTGGTTCCACCTCAAAGGACGAAGAAGAAGAAGAAGGAGCAAACAACAACAACAATAGGAATAACTGGCTTCAATTAAGCATAGGTTTTCATCAGACTCACGCGGCTGTGGCGGCGACAACCACCAAGCACGACCGTGATCACCACCACCATCGTCATCACAGAGCGAGCTCAATGGCTCCAACAAGCGGCTCAGGACTTGTGGAGTTAGACTTGTTACCGGCTGCTACTGGGAGACATTTGAATTGGGCTTCTTCACGGCGGAGCATGGAGCCTCCGGTGGTGGCTGCGGCCGCGGCGGAGGGGAGGAGTTGTTGTCAAGGAGGGTCTAGTTTTGGTGGTTCTTTGGTTTTAGAACAAACTTCAAACATGTCAATAGCAAGTGGTCCAACATTTGGTCATCGCCATCAACAACAACAACAACATCATCAAGAGATAATGAACTGGGCATTTGGTCCACTTCCCCAATATTCCATGCCAATTATGCCTTCTTCTTCTTCTTCTTCCTCTTTTCCTCTTCTTTCTTCTTCTTCATCAATATTATCATCATCACAATCTTGTTCTTCTTTGAGGCCTCATCTTCCTCTAGGATCATCTTATTTTCCTCCACCCTTTCATTTCCCTTCTTCTGGGTTTGATCATCAATTTGATGTGGCTGGACCAAGCTCCCATGTCACAGTTAGAGTTGTTGATCCTCCTCCTAGACCTCATTCTGGAATATGGTTTATGCTACAAGCCTCCCAAAACCAGTAAGCTAAATGCAAATTCAATAACTCTTTGTTTGGTTTTTTTTTTGTTACATTTGAAATTAATACACCAAATAGTATGTATATATGTTTGGTAGTGCAATTTAATTACTTTTTTAGTGATATGAAATTAATTGACTTGGCTTTTTATTTGCATTATTAATGCAGAGCGAAAGAACCATTCTTGCCCCAGATACCTAAGAACTACCTTAGAATCAAGTGAGTATAGTTCTTTCTTTCTTTATCTCAAACGTGTTAGCTAGCTTGTTAATTATTCTTAACATAGCTTGGGATTTTTTCTTGTCAGTGTGTAATCAACATCTATCTATCGTTCATTTTTTTTTTTTAATTTTATAATATTAAGTTGATGATTTGGAGTTGCAAACTCATCATTTCTTTTTTGACTTTGGAATCTTTCAGAGATGGAAGAATGACGGTTCGGTTGCTATTGAAGTATCTGGTTAGCAAACTCAGGCTTGAGAACGAATCAGAGGTACTTTCAATCATCTCTTTAGCTTTTTTAAATAAATATAATGTATGTGGTTGTGGCAAGAAGGGACTTCAATCCTATTTATTAGCATCTAATCAAAGAGAGAACGAAATGAACATATAGAGACTTAGATATTAATAGGGGTGTGATCCGAAAAGGAAATGGAACTATGTTTTCATCAAAGTACCAAATTAAGTACATTAAATTGGGAACCCAAAAAGTAGGTGTTAGAAACATGAAAGATATGGAAGAACTAAAACAGATTTATCTCTAGTCATAAATCAGTAGGTAAAAAGTACATTTCTCGGAAGTCATCTTCCATGTCTGTTTTATTTGGTATTTGCATTTCACACTCATCTTTTTTTGTGTCATGGTAACATGATGTGATTAGAGTCAAGTGATTTGTCTATTCAATTCAAGAAATATATATATGTACGTAGCAAGAACCTTTACAAGTTTGGTGGTGGGAATTGGGATATTATATTAGTTAGGTGTACCGTAACTGTTCAAAAGGCAAATTAATTATAGATATATATAATAATTACTAATTACTTCACGAAAAATTATATATACATATGCTATCTTAGTATCTTTATTACTTCTTCTAGCCAAAAGTCAGTTTCATAGGAGGAAGCTCCTTGGTGATATTGGGTTCAGTACTGTTTCAAATTATAATGCTCTATATACGAAGTATCATCGTAATAATCACCCGTGTATAAATGCTCGAGTAGTTTATGATTTCTGTGACCTACCACTAATTTTCATGAAAGTAACCTTTCAGTGGTTTGCACCACTTGTGGAGAAACAGGATGGGAATTGTTAAAATAAACCTATATAGATCTTAATTTATATGTGTAGAATGTATAGATAAAAGCTGATAGAGAGTTAAATTATGAATTGATGCATAGTTGATAAATGGAATGTTCGAGTATATCCCAAGCTGATGCCTCTTGATGAGTGCCCCCATGCATAGGTGAACTCATAGCTAGAACAAACCACTTTCACTAACCTAGAATTTAATTTACACAGAAAAAATGGCCATATATGTACTAAACAGGATTAAGAATAGTTTAGCTTCTTTTTGTGAAATCAATCTACATCATTTCCCAAATGTTTAACTGAAGATGTTCGCTTTCGTTTCACTTCTTGAAAGGGAACAAAGACTACACAGTAGTAATCATTATATATATATATATATATATATATATATATATATATATATATATATATATATGGTCTATGTATTTTACATACATATATATATATATATTTGTACTTATATAACCTAGTAGAGTTTTTTTTTTTCAACATATATTCTTTGGATTGTGCATGTTTTAGTCGAAAATTAATGATACACGATATAAAGTAGAGAACTAATGTTGTATTTGGTTGGGGATTTATAAGGTGTACTTTAGATACTTATGATCTACATTCATTATTAAACCTGCGCACGGCCATGCATCAAGGGATATTATTATTAGAATGTGCGCATTATTGTGTGTGTCCCAGAACTTTACAATACTTCATGCACACTTCATAATCGAACACCACTACTACTTGTTGCCTAATAATTACTGAAAAAGGTTTGAATCCTTAGAAAAAACGAAGCAACATATATTTAGAACCTACATCATAAATCATAATATCCATGCATGCCCTTAAGATTACTAGATCTGACCTAGGAAGAAAAAGATCATTATACATACAATGATTAGAAGCCGTTTATCATTTGCATTTATTTGATATCATATTTAGGGTATATTTGATTGTGTTTTGTTTTTTTTGTTTTTAAAACTGTTTCGTAAAATAGTTATATAGAAACATGTATTTTTTGTGTTTCGAAAGTTAAAAATCAAAACACAAAATAAAAACAACTCAGATATATTTTACAAAACAAGACTTATTAAATGAGTTTTTTTATTTTTTTATTCTGAAAACCAATTTTTTTTTTAGCTTATCTTCATCACCCCTGTGGAAACATTTATCAATCAGTTGAGATTTTTGAAGAGTGCCTGGATTTAAAAAAATAAAATAATTAACTTCGCTTTCCCTTCCCCCTTTTTATGTTTGTAACGTTTTGTGATTGACATAAAAAGATTGGTTTCCTTAGAGTTGAATTTCTGATGATGTTCATAATATGTTTTGACATCAATATTCATTCCTTGATGCTACACACAATAAAAGAATGTATTTTTATAGGGATGAGTGTTGTTCGTCTTATGACTTGAATTTTAAAGTTTGTACTCCATATATAAGAGTATCAACCTTTTTTTTTTTTTTTGGTAAGCGTATCAACCCTTTTTTAACTCGTTAAGATTTAAGCCACATTGACTTTGGGTATTAAAAATTTTCTCTTATGTTTTGAATTTCCCTACTCAAATGGTAAAATCTCTAACCCTTCCTTCCCCTCCCCTCCATCCCAAAGTTTTCTAAAACTTTTTCAATCTCATTGTAATTTAGATCATACCCGGTCATTTTATCTTTATCCTTTTTTTTTTAACAATCTTTTGGGAAGTTTCAGCTAGGTCTTAATATTATTGTTAATTATTATTATTATTATTTTGTATCTATGCCACATTTTTTTGCCAAAATGTTTTAAAATATCGGGAAATTGTGTTTAAATAGTACAATTCCCGTTTCATTTACTTCGATATTTATTTTGCAAGAAAGGCGAATATTTTTAGAATTTTGTTTGCGGTTGAGTTTGATGTTAATTTGTACTTGGGGAGGTTAAAATTGCTTGGAAATGAAGTTGAAAAGAAAACATAATTTTTAGGTTTTCATTCTATTGAATACCTGTGTTATCTGGATTTATCATCAATAGAAGTGTTATCCACAAAACAACAAAAACCAAGGTAACTGTTTTCAAAGGGAATAATAATGACCTTAAAACTTTTCATGTTATCATTGGCCAAACTAAGAAAAAAAAAAAAAAAAAACTTAGTGTCAAATGTATCTTACATACGTTCATGGTGTGCATTACCAACAGCATCTAAAATATATATCATGTTAGGTTGCAGGATACACACAATCAACATTCCATTCTGTTAGTCAGAATTCCATGCATGTAAGTTACTTTTTGGGTCAACCCTCTTCGTTGTGCTTTTGATTTAGATACTCTTATCCCTGATATAGATTAGTACATGCCTATCCTATCACAACTCATGCATTCAAGATGAGGTTATGACCGCGTCTTATTTTCTTTTTCATCCTTAATATAAGATCACAGACAGCTGCATATATATCTACAAATATACAATGATCATATTACATATCATTTATATATATATAATTAGGTCTCTAAATTATTTATGGTAGATTTAGTTAAATGATAAATGAGATTCATCAACTAGAATTTTATATATATTTGACGCACTCAACATTCCCCTCTAGCTGCATGTTTCAATTTATTTTTGCCTTGATATTGTTTGTTTGTTTGTTATGGGAAAAGTCAACCTAAGATCACTCGGTTTTATGTATGAACAACCTTAAAATAAAAGTATGGCTAGCTGGTTATGATGTAGTTCCCATGCCGGCCGGAACTGCAAACCTCATACATCGTTCACACACATGCCTTAGATTTCGAACTTAACATCCAATGATTATCTTTATATATATATATATATATATGAGTGTGACAGGTTCTAACTTATTCTTTAGGGACATATATATATGCTAGCTAGGTTAATCTCTTGTATACATAAGATTATTAGTTTTCATCATAAATTCAGGAAATATCGGAGGGCAAATGAATAAGTTAATTAGACGATACTTCACAGATTATTTAAAGCATTAAGGTTAATTATGAATACTGCGACTAAACCTCTTTCATAAAAAATAAGAAGCTTTTGTTGATTATTAGGATCATGGCTTAATAGAAAACATAACTTTTTTTTTTTAAACAATAATATGAACATGAATAATAGATAGTCTAGGAAATAATGAATATGCAAGAAAGCAAAAAGATGTCTTTCATGTTGGAAGGAGTGTATCCCTCCCTCACTTTTTTTCTTGCCCTTTTCCTTATTGCTTTTGTAATTTATAAAGAGTGCATTGACTTTAAGATGTAAAAACACATGTTCAACTTGGATAGACGTATCTTTATCTTGGCCTACTTAGTTGACAGCACTACTCATTCTATTCATACAAAAAGGTTGCAAGATATATGTCATTAAATTAACTCAAACATTCTATCCTAGGGCTTCGAAAATCACACGTGGACCCTGTCATTCTCCCCACTCAATACCTAGCTGCATGCCTTCTCTCTCTCTCTCTCCTTTCGTCACGCTTTCGCTTCATATCCCCACAGCCAACGTAGGCCCTTCCCATTTCCATTTGCTCTCTCTCCTTCTATGGAATATTTTGCTTAAAAAGCTCCATCAAACTGTCAAGTGCTGCACTCTCATGGAAAGGAGCCAAAAGAGAAAAACCCCATTATGTATGGGCAGCATCTTCCACCAACCACAGTATGTGATACCAACTCTCTAATAAGAACAAAAACTTAATCTAATTCACAGAACTATACTAGATCGAATATATATATATATATATATATATATATATATATATATATATATATATATATATATATATATATATATATATGAGGTAGGATCCTTTGACACCGGTGTCAAATTTAAAGTTTGACACCTCATTTGAGAGCCGTCAGATCAAAAAAATCAACAACTCTAATTTGTAAGCATGTGACACCGTTATCTTTTTTGATCTAACGGCTCTTAGATGAGGTGTCAAACTTCAAATTTGACACCGGTGTCAAAAGATCCTACCTATATATATATATATATATATGGGTCAAGATCATTTTACACCAGTGTAAGTTACACTCTTAATCTTGTCTGTTGATCCCACTTATATCTAAGGGCTCTAATTTTTTAGTAATGTGAGCCAATGGATACAAGTAGATCAACGATCAAGATTGAGTGTAAGATTTCTAACTCTTACACCGGTGTAAGAATATCCTGCCCATACGTATATATATATAATTATTTCTCTTATAACCCAATATTAATGTCATATTTTAAAAATTTTAGTTTTATATTATATTATAAATTTTATTAAAATACCCTGAATTTTTTTTCAAAACTCAAAAAAGACATCATTTTGAGAGTTGTAAGATATAATTTTATTTCCTAATGTATGAAAATGTTAACCTCTCTCTCTCTCTCTATATATATATATATATAGGAAAAAAAAATTCTACGGCCACTTTAAATAAGGTTATCTACAGCTACCCAAAAACTACTTCGTTTTGATTAATGAAGGGTGTTTCTGTAATTTTTTTTTATCATATACATTTTACTGAAACACCCTTTATTAATTCACCTAAAATTATAGAACAATCTTTCATTAATCAAATCGGCGTAATTTTTGAGGTAGCTGTATATAAACTTATCTAAAGTGGCTGTAGAAATGTTTATCTCATATATATATATATATATATATATATATATATATATATATATATATATAAGGAATTAATAATAATAATAAGTCGGTGAGCGATATGCATGCAACATTAAAAAATTAATTGGAAGCATATATGAAGAACTAAGACACTTTAATTAGTTATTAATTAACAGGGTTTTTTTCAAGTTCAAACCGGTGGTATGATATTAAATAAATAACGTGTGACATGACAATAGAACTAGTTAGCTAGTTGAAGATGAAAAATCAAAAGGGCAATTATTTCATGTAGTAATGTTGACGCTCGCATGCATTAGGGTCTGGGTGGCGCAACGTGATAGAGACGTGCATGATGACCATGAAAATTTAGCAATATAAACGCGTGATTAGGTCCCTTAGAAGGAGGAAACGAAGAAGAGAATACTATTTATTATATTAATTTTTCTAGGTCACCCCTTCCCTATTCTTCGCCGGGCTTCATGGATCCACCGTTGCATCAGATTATATATACTCTTTTTGGTGAATAAGCATCATATTATATTGTACGTTACATGTGTTTATATTTTTTGTTCTTGGCTTTATTTTTATTTTTTTTGATTTATTTGTTCATTAATAATAGCTAATTAATGATATAAATTTATTGCGATAGGAAGGTATTTGTTATGATAGTAATTCCATTACCATATCATATCCAATCATATCATATATAATAATAGTATTGGGGGCATATATAGAATAGAAAACTCTGAAGTCTAAGGGATCATGATTATGGCTTAGGAGCAAAGTCTGAATGGGTCCTCTCATAATGATTAAAGAGAGGGCAGTTTTTAAGATCGTGGGTTGGGTGGGCATTTCCACGATTGCCCGCTGACCCAAATATGCGTGCATGCTTAAGGGTTTAGGAATCTCTTGGCTTAAAGGAAATTACTTATCTGAAACATTAAATTAAAATAGGAAAATGGAGATGTGGATCAATCTTATGCGTAAAGTAGAAGTTACAAAGATCTTATACATTGGTAAGTAGGCCCAAGGCGTAAGCCACTGACAAAGCATGACTTCATACTGATTTCATATTCACCATATTATAAAGAATATATTAATTAGATATATTTTGTCTTCTTTTTCTTTCAAATTTTTGTTTTAAATGATTTCAAATTTTAGCTTAGTTTTATCAAGATTTTATATGAAACATTAATTTTTTTATATTCCTTTTTATAACTTTACTGTATCTATAATATATGTCAGTGATTTTTACCCATAAAAATAGTTAAATATGTTAGTGATTAATTTGTAAGTTTTGTATACGTAGCTGATTCATGTCTCACTTTGGTATATGTTGCAGACAAGTAAATAGATGTGCATCTAAATTGAATGTGGGATTAACAAATGATATGAAGATTAATGGGAGGAAATCATAAAACTTCAAGAGTAAAAAACTTGAGCAAAAATATCTCCGAGATAGGGTAATTAATTGAGAAAATTAGGCGTAAGGTTGTTTCTCTAAACCCACAATCACCACCTATGAGATTATCGTTCTAGGGCCACTTTCCTTCACAATAATCGTCCCAAGGAGCTTCATATATATATAGACAATCCTCCACAAGGATCATCTTAATCACATTATCATTGCCGGGCGACATTTTGTTGGGCTATTAGAGGAAGCTGATGGTAGGAAGATATTGTCATCCATGGGCTAAATTAAATGAGTTTAGACACCATAATCAAACTCAAAACCTTAAGGTATTAGGTACTTAGTCATTTATATAGTGTTTACTTAGTCATTTCTTAACCAATATGATACTTCATACACTCACACTTGAATTCCTCAACATCTCTTCCTCAAATGTGAGTCCTAGGCCCACATTCTTTCCCTTTTAAGAATAAGCAACGACATTAAGTTGGCTTAGACACCACAATCAAACTCAAAACCTTAATGCATACTTTCACTTATATAATGCTCATTCAGTCCATCATTAATTAACAAATGTGAGACTTCGCCTACTCACATTTGGATTCATCAACACATTTGTGTTCACCTTCGAACATATTTCTCTAAATCATTTGATTTCATAAAGATAATTATAAAAATTATTAATATGACATATTGTTTATATTGATTCAATAGTGTATAGTCTTTACTTAGAAGTGAACTAAAGCGACCCGTCGCGTAAAAAGAGATATATAGATATGAGGATGAATTTATGAGAAAAGTAAACATAGTGATTTTGAAAATATATCAGAATAATGCACATAAAAAAAAGGTATATCAAAATTATTCTAGTTATATCCCTCATTTCTTATAATCACGTGCTCGATCTCTCTGGGTAAATGTAAAGTCATCATACATAATGAGTTTAATCATGGCTGAATATAATTTGGATGAATTTCAATTATAGTCTTGTCTTGTATTTCAATTGTTACTCTCTCTTTTTTTTGGGTTCAATCTATTGTTAATTACTTTTTAGTTTCACATCATATTTCTTCTGGTGGTGGATATATCACTGTATGATCACACCACGTGATGTGCATGTATAAGATATGATAATGAGGAATAAATATGCAATGAATGAATTACTATTGCTGCAGATAGAGATAACATGCAGAGGGCAGCAACTTTTACCTTTCTTTACGTTGCAGCATGTGAGGGATAACATTTGGACTCCGAGGGACACCACAAGAACTTTGCTTTCAGATTCCTCAACCACAGATCATGTCATGGTTCTCCATTACGGTAGAAGCACTGCTTAATTAAAACAAGTGAAGACCCCTTGTAACTTAAATGTGGCTCCTGCATCCATCATGTTATATCCTTGTTAACTTATCTAAACCCTTTTCTTTTTAGTTTTCCAATTTTTCTCTATTCTAATGGGTTTTGATTATTATTTATTTTTATTTTATTTCCTCTTTATTTTTCTTTAATTGACATTAAGATCAAGGAGAATCATATCACCCCGAATAAGTGTGTATTTCTTTAGGGTTTTGGGGTGGGGAGCGTTGCCCAAAATTGTATTTCCATGCTGGACGAGGTGAGTGAGGAATGCCATATCAAATGTATTTATCAAGCACAAAACTCAATCTAATTTGATCCACTAACCCATTTTCCCCTTTTAACCCAGTTTCTCTTTATCATTAGTTATTATGGTTTATCTCAAGCTACATGCATTCCAATATTTTAAGTAATATCATGTGTTAATTAGTTAGATATGTATAATGTATGTCTTATTGATCACATGAGTAAAATTCCTTTTCTAAATTTACGCTTCACAAATGTTAGTTTACTTTAAGATAATATGCATTTATGTAGGAACAATGTCATATATCCATGGCTTCTTCGATTAATCAGCGTATCTGTCATTTTTTAATTTGGTAGGTAATAAGGATTTTAGTTAATTTATTTTTAGTTCGAAAGTTGATAACATTTAATTATAGACATATCACTTGAAGAACCTATACGAAGATTGTGGACTAGACAACTTGGTTTGGGCTTGATGGGCCATTCATCTGGATGACTCTGAAATGGTAGTCCGAATGAATGTCCAAGCCCACAAGAACCATGACCTTAATATCATAATAACTGTCTCGATAAATATGATCATCGACTCAACCATTTTGTTTCCAATTTAATAGGCAGATAAGTTACCAATAATTAGAGCTATCAAAATAGGTCAACCCGTTCCATTAGGTCCTAACTCATATGTGTAGGGTCAAAAAGTTCGCAGAGGCCAAGTGAACCTCAACAGTAAAGGCTCATACGAGCCAAAAGTCTTATAGGTTAGAGCTAGCCTGCGAGCCGTTCAAAATTTTATCATATTCAATACGTTAAAAATTATTTTAACAAATAAATATTTAACACTTTCTTAACATATTTTGTACAAATTATAAAAAATTTATAATTTTTTTAATAAAATAATATTTGTACACAAATTATAAAAAAATTGTAGAATATAAGGACATATCTTAAATGAAAAAAAGTAGTATTTGGTGAATTCAGAATATAATAATATTTTCTTACCTTTAAAAGTTCGTATTTGTTGTTATCTTATTCTTCATTTGATTTTCTTTCTACACTTCATTTTTCTTTTTTTTCAGATTTCACTTTCTCTTATGTTCTACATCAAATTCACAACAATTTTTATTTACACTATGTTTATAATTTACTTTATATTTATAAATATTTAAATTTTTATATTTTTAAATTTTTTAAATAAAAATTTTTTTGAAGAAGAAAAAAGTTTGACCTATAGCCCAGCTCTAACCCAGCCCTTAAGGCTTAAATGTTGGGTTAGAAAAAAGAGAAGAGAGAAATTTTTTTTTTGAAGGAACTCATTCATTTTTTATGCTGGCGGAAACAAATTTCTGCAGTAAAAATAAACATTCTTTCCTAAAATTTATTGCAACATTAAGGGGACATTAGAATTTACCCAGAATAGGTCTTCCATCTGGACAAAATCGAAGTGCAAACGCACAAGAGTTAAGTAACCTCCAGCTCACTGTCAACCTATTAGTTTGAGCCTATTAGTGAACTGACACCTAACCTACATCAGCTTCAGCTACAATAAAAATGGCATGGAAAAGGGGAGTTTGTTCTTTCCGATGTGTCTCCTCTTCATCCCCTTAAGCAGTTTCATCACCCTGTTTTGCAAGTGTGCCTTCTTTCATGCGTGTTTGTGCGCTTCGCTTGCCTTCATTAGCAGATTTAAAATTGTGTAATACTGTTGATGTCTGTTTTATGTGTAGGCTGTAACATGATTGTCTAGAACCTCTTACTGCATTTTCTGTTCGTTCTATGATTAGTTCAACAAGCGAATCCTCCATTTGGGACTTCTCAAATTAGTCCCAGGACCACCGACTCCAGCTATTTGATCCTCCTTTCAAAAATCAATTTCTTTACAAATCACATGATCTCATATTCCAACTCTTCCACTCTCTGCTCTAGAGTTTGTTTCTCTGCAAGTACAACCCCAAAACTCCAACCTCTAATGGTTGAACCCTCTCTTCCTGACTCAAATTGGAGGCTCAGAATTAGCTTATTTTGTGTCTAAAATCATTTATAAATTAATTTTATTTTTTAAAAAAAGCAATTTTTTCTTATAAATTAATCAAAATCAAACATGCACTAGCTAGACCGTGTCTTCGTAAGAGCTTCTCATAATAATCACTGGAGCTGTGCCTGAGGCACACTGAGGCCAACCAGTTGGTCTATATTCCAAATCATAGTATATTTCACCTTCAATTTTAGTCAATGTTGCATAATAGAATGTGAATCAAGAGGGCATCAAACTTAAATGAAAATGAAACCGAACCTCATCCTATTTCAATTCATTAACAAGTCAACTACATGCACGACAAATATACACAATCATATATAAGAATCAGCATTAAATCTCATCATTATAAACTGTTAGTCTAGCTGGTCTCACTTAGACTAATCATTGTCAACATCTCATCGAAGCCACCTGATTTGGCAATGGCAGTAAATTACTGATTTAGTCTAACCAGGTTAGACAGACTATGCCTAGCAAAGAATTTTTCCTTACGCGATCTTACATTGCAGGTTTGCAGTTCAGGGAAACTAGGGCAATAAGTTGATCTATTACCAGGTCATATGAATTTTTAATATGAGAGCATCCAGTCACAACTCATATGGCTCAACATGCCTCTAGGCTAAACAACTAAAAGCATACTAGAGATTTACAACCACTCATATTAAGAATTGAGATAAATTCTAGTTGAGTATAAATTAACTCCAAATCCAACTTTGATATTTGACTATTACGGGATAAAAAATTTATCCTCATTGTAGTATCAAAGTTACAATAAGGATCGAGTAGCTAAAAGATTAATCATAACATAGACAAAATATTCTATCCAGCACGTCATTTTTACAGACATGAAAAAATATAAATAGAAGACAAGATGCCTCCCCAGCCACCATATGTTTGAAGACTATTTTATTAGTCACTTTGATTGCATGATATCAAAATAACTACACCACAAAATCTTATCAGTATAAACTGTAAGTACAACTTAATATCTGAATCTCATGATCTGTTCATTAGATCAGAAAAAGAAAAAAGATACCTGGTTGCAGTATCCAAGTTAGAACTTAGAATACAGATCAGGCAGCTGAAGGGTCAGAATATAGAAACAAAATTCCATCTAGCCCGTCATTTTATTTTTAACAGATATAAGAATACAACGACAACTCGACAAGGACCATATGCCTTAGCCACACCATATATTTCAAACTACCTAGTCACTTCGATTGCAGTATATCAACATAACCATCAAGTCTATGAGACCAGGAAATGGCTGATAAGATTTCATTCTATAGGATCCAAACAAGTCAATTTATTCAACAACCACTTTAGAAGGTTCAGCTCCAAGAAAATCAGTGCTCATAGTTAAAAACAAGCAGAGTAAAACAGAGAATATTTTTTTCAATTAAAAGTCAGCGGAAAGCAACAGCTTTGCAATCTTGCTCCAAAAGATAGAAAAGGTGAGAAATAAGTATTAAATCTTCTTAGTCCTTAGCAAGTTTTATGAAAGAATACATAAATTATAGGGAAGGAGTGCTTCTCATCAATTACAGAACAATTTATTGACACTATATATTTCACAAATCAAGATTCCATACAATTCGATTCTACAAAGACACATCAATCTTCAGGAGCATTAAATTGTGCATAACTTCAAAATAAAAGATTTGCAGAATTAGAATGAAAGAACAAAATCTTCAAATTTCAAGACTTGACTATCATTAGAAAAACATGTCATCAAAAAGTTTCAAGCTGAGAGCAAAGATTAACAGTCACTAACTCACCATTGTCCATTCACCAGAGACAAACAAAAAAGCTGTTATACATGCATGCATTTTCTATCCACAATTTCAAGGTTCAAGCCAGAAGAAAGAAACTTCAAGAAAATTACACATACATACATACATACATTACATGTTTCATGGAAACCCTTTCCGAAGCTTCTGAATTGCAGTGTACATTTTCCTTCTGGAACCAACAGCATTGATACCCATATCCTTGAGATCCTCCAAGGTCAACATTGGAAGCAACTCATCATCCACCTCATGAATCTCAAACATCGGTGCATACCTACTCAGCCCCAACTCAACCAACCAAGATCTCACTCCCTCGTTCTTTCTCCGTTCCCTCGATTCCGATTCAACGCCGTCGTTTTCCGAAACCCTAACCCTATTATCATCATGCCGATCCATGTGCCAATAATCGACCCCGTTCTCTTCAACCGAGTGCACCGGGCTCTGATCGTGATCGTGATCTAAATCCCTAAACCCTTCGTCTCCGTTCTCATCGATTGTTCTTGGAGCCCAATTCGACCTCAACCGCTTCGTTGTTGAGCCTCGCTTCGCCTTGCCTCTTCGGTTGTTGTTGTTCCCGAATTCCTCGCCGCCGTTCGCGAGGTTCGTTAGGGACCGAGCCTTGGAGGTTCGAGAAGATTCCTTCGGGACTCGCCAGCTCCATGGCGGCATGCTATGGCGGCGCGTGTGGGAGTCGTGGCCGTGTGAGGTGGCGCGTTGATCTCCGATCTCCCCCAAACGGACGCTCGGACGGCGTTGCCGTTTGGGAGGAGGGACGGCGATCTCGGCGTTCGGTCGTGCCGATGTTGCCGGGGCCTCCACCGCCGTTTCGGCCGCGGTGTCCGGTATGGAGGTGATTGGAGGTTCCGGCGGCGGTAAGTGTGTCTCGGGTTCAGCCGCCATTGCGGTTCCAGTGGCAGCGGTGGTATGCGCAGGATAAGGGAGACGGGGAATTTTATGGTGCGGTAAGGCTGCAACTGTGCCAATGCACTTCCTAACGTTTGCACCGTTGGATGGTATGGTGGGGGAAGTCTAGTAGATTCAGGACATGTACCTGAATTGAATATTGCGATGGATCACTTATTCCACGTGTAACTCATTAACCGTAGATCTTGATAAATTTATTAGCTAATTGAAGTATAGAACATTGATTGACATCTACAATCATTAACTAGGGTGGCGATTGTAGAAATGCATTTATTACTATGACATTTTCAAGAATATAACGATGTAAATGTAATTTTGTTTTTTTTATTAAAAAAATGTTATCTTAACAAATAAATTTTTTAAGAGTACTTCTTTAAATTTTTTATAATAACCAAAATATTTATTTGGTTTACTTGTAATGCATATTTGGGCAAAAAAAAATTAAAATGATGCTTTTTAATTAAATAATTACGCATTTATTACAGTTTTGAGAAAATTACGGATCAATTGCGCACTGTGCCGTCTCTTTTGGGCGTCACATGTGACGCCTCATTGAGGCGTCACACCCTAAGGTGGGGCGTCTCTTATGATGTGTTGACACATGTCATTTTTTTTTTTCAAAAAAAAAGTAATTTAATCGTAAAACTTCTGAAGGCCATAACTTTTGACTCGAGTATCCAAATCAAGTAATTATTTTTTGATTCCACATAACTTTTCGTGATCTACGCAATAACATCTCATTTGTCATATTTTATTTCTCACAAACACAATTTTAATTTGCAAGAATGATATTATAAGAGCGGATAAACCCAGAAGACTCTGAGTTCTGGATTTGTGATTTAATATAAAAAAAAATTTGATTTGCGATTTAAATTTTTTTTAATAATTTTTTACTACTATATCAAAAATTTGGTTTGTGATTTAAATTAAAAATAAAAATAAAAATTATTATTAATAAGGAAAACAAAATAAAGATTTGATTTGTGATTTAACCTAAAAAATCAATTTGAAAAATCTGTAGAAATAAAGGAAATAATTAAATAAATATTCTAAATCTCTAAGAAAGAATGATATTATTTTAGAAATTAATGATTAATGCTATAAGCTTTTGGGTTATTATTCGTGGTCTGAAATTAATGATGGATTATGAATGTTTTTCAAAAATAAAATTACCCAAATTAGGCGTGATTGCCTCTTGATTGAAACCCAATTTAGACGTAATTGGTGACGAGTCAGGTTTTGACACGTGTTGATACGTGTCACATTTTTAAACTTAGAAGCCTCTGAGTTCTGCGTTTGTGATTTAATACAAAAAGTAAATCAGGATTTGATGTGTGATTTAAATTAAAAAAAATAATTTTTTTTATTTTTTTATAAAAAAAATTTGGTTTGTGATTTAAATTAAAAGTAACAATTATTATCAATAAGGAAAATAAAATAAAGATTTGATTTGTGATTTAAACTCAAAAATCAATTTGAAAAATCTGTATTAATAAAGGAAATAATTAAATAAATATTCTAAATCTCTAAGGAAGAAGGATTACCTGATTTAAATTTAAATTATTTTTGTAAGAAATAAAATATATCAAATGAGATGTCATTGCGTAGATCTCGAAAAGTTATGTGGAATCAAAAAAAGAATTACCTGATTTGGATACCCGAGTCAAAAGTTATGGCCTTCAGAAGTTTTATTTTTTTTTGGAAAAAAAATGACACGTGTCAACACCTTATGAGAGACTCCCCTTAGGATGAGACGCCTCAATGGGGCGTCACATGTGAGGCCCAAAAGAGGCGTCACAATGTGCAATAGGGGTGTTCATCAACCGATCCAAACCGCGGTGACCGAACCGAAAAACCGATAACCGAATAAACCGAAAACCAAAAAACAAAAAACTGAAAAAAAAAAACCTCAAATTTTAATTGGATTGGATCAGTTTTTGGATGGGTTGATAAAAACCGATCCAATATATTATTTTCCCTCTACCTACTTGGACCTTTCCTTAATCATAGTCTAAAAATTTCTAAACCCAAGACCCATTAACCCATCATCTAAACCCAAGAAAAAATCTAGTCATATCTTATCAACAAAATTTTATCTTTGTAGAGCTTCATATCTCATTGCAAAAAAAAAAACTATATTATAATCTACTAATGCTTTTTTATTTCAATGTTTTTTTACAAAGCCAATATATACAAAAGACGTTATTTGTACAATAATCATGAAATAAATTTTAGGATTTTCAAAAAATCGAAAATCGATCCAATCTAAACCGAAAATTTTTGGATCGGATCGGATTTGGAAAAAAATCCAAACCGAATGGATGATTATATGATCAAACCGAAAGGATTGGATCAGATGATTTTTGCTTCCAAAACCGATCCAATCTAGAACGCGAACACCCCTAGTGTGTAATAGATCCGTAATTTTTCCCATAACTGTAATAAATGCGTAATTATTTTATTAAAAAACATTAATTACTTTTTTTCACTGCATATTCGATCGAATATTTTTGGCACCAGTTCTACTAGCTGTGGTTGGTAGAATCCTCTAGCTGCATTATTGTTAGCTGCCGTCGTTTTCTCTCCTATGAAACTGCTCGTATCATCCAACGGTATTGATGCATCACAACCCTGATTGTTGCGTTAAGTGAAGCTAAATTAAGTGAAGCAGAGTATTTAAGTAGAGTCAAATTAATGTATATACTTGCGTTTACAAAGCAGTCATGGAAATCCAATCGAAGCAAGGAAGCTAATATGCGAGTTTTTTTTTTTTGGTACATATAAGGGGCATAGCCCCAAAACAAGGAAAACGAAAAAACTAAAACACGAAGCTAACAAAAAAATTTAACAAGCAAAGACAGAAAACATCAAAACACTAATTAACCAGGATCAAGCCTATCAGCCTCCAGAAGTTTAGCCAGATCCGGATGAGGATAGGAGATCAGCTTTAAACCATACTCATCATCAACAACCTTTTTAGCTATCCAATCAGCACATTTATTGATAGTTCTAGAGATATGAGATAAAACCACACTCCAATCTCTTTGTAGCCATACTCGAATTTTAGTCACCAATGGTAGCTTTCGAGTATCCTTACCATCACTAGTAAGTAAGCTAATAGCTTGTAAAAAGTCAGATTCTACTATAATATTTCTGTATCCAAGATTCCAAGAAAACGCCAAGCCATGGAGAATAACCCAAAGTTCAGCATTTAAGGTGAACAAGATCCCAGAAAGAAAGAAAAGCCACTAGCCCAACAACCATTACTATCCCTCAAAATACCACCACAAGCTGATCTATCTCCCACCACTGCTCCATCTATGTTGAGTTTTAAAACTCCTTCCATTGGTCGAGACCAAGTTGACAAACTGGGCAGTGATCCATTAATCTTTGCTTTTCTATTAATTGTACTTCTCAAGTTGTTTTTCTCCTCCAAAAGGCTAACAAGCAGTGGCGGAGCCAGGCTCCACCAGGAGCCCGAGCCAAAAAATTATATGTGTTTTTATTTTTTGAATAAATATCATTTTTGATCCTTAGCAAATTTTACGATACCCGCTTTAGTCCCTAGCAAATAAAAAGGTTATTCGTGGTCCCTAAAAAATTCAAAGTGGATCCATTTTAGTCTTTTTGAGGAATTAATATGGGTCTTTTTTGAATTTATAAGGGACTACGATTTCAACTAAATAGGTCTATTTTGAATTTTTTAGGACCACGAATAGCCTTTTTATTTGCTAGGGACTAAAGCGGGAATCGTGAAATTTGCTGAGGGCCAAAAATGGTATTTACTCTTATTTTTTTTAATTTTAGTTAGTTCATATCATAATA